TGTTAAACACAAATGCCCCCGGCTCAGATTCTTGTCAGTAGCAATATTTCAAAAAATGTTTACCCATTCACTCAGTTAAGGACAGAAAAATTGCCAAAAAATTGTAAACACAAGTAATATAGCTTGACAAAGTCATAGCATTTTGTAATTGTGAAAAATATAAGTTGCCAAGTCATTGCTCTGACTTGTAAAGATGAAAAATATTCAACTTCATGCACGTTATCTTCCTACCAAATATGAAATACATCTGTCATTAAATAAAGGCTGTATGGGCAAAAGTGTAAAAATCTATTTTTAGCACTGGTGACCTTGACCCAACTGACCCCTTACTCCATCCAAAGGAAGAATACCATGCAAGTTATCTTCCAACCAAATATGAAATACATCTGTCAATAGATAAAAGCTGTATGGGCAAAAGTGTAAAAATCTATTTTTAGCACAAGTGACCTTGACCCACTGATCCCTACCCCAATTAAATGATGACCATGCAAGTTATCTTCCTACCAAATATAAAATATATTTGTCACTTAATAAAGGCTGTATGAGCAAATGTGTAAAAATCTATTTTTAGAACTGGTGACCTTGACCCAACTGACCACTAACTCCATCAAAGTTTATGTTTCTATCAATTATAAATAACATCTGTCTATAGAATAAGGTCAATACACCTGTAAAAATGTAAAAATCAATTTTAACATTGGTGACCTTGACATTGGTAACATTGACCTTGACCCAAATGACCCCTTACTACACCCAAAGAAGGAGGACCTCCCATGTTTGTATTAAAATAAAACATCAACTAAAATATAAAGGCTGTATGAGCAAAAATGTTTATATTTATTTTTTAAACCAGTGACCTTGACCCTAGAGACCGCTTACTCCACAAAAAATTAGAGAACCATCAAAGGTATCCACCTACTAAATATGAAAGATTTCATTAAAGAAATTAAGCAATTAGGAGAAATTTAAGATAAATCCAACTTGCCTAAATAGGTTAACCAGACAAGGCCCTATTTTCAAAGTGAAAAAAGGGAAATAACTGGGAAATATGGATGACACAGTTATATAACTTGGCAATATCATGTACTTTGTATTGATAAGTAAGTGCTGAAATTATAAAGCCATTAGTATAGATAGAACTTAAGATATTTCCAACTTGCCGTTTTAGGTTAACCATTATTCATTTTCTAAGTGCTGAAAAGGGCCATAACTTGGTAAATATGAAAGCCAGAGTTATGTAACTTGCCCAGATCATGTACTTTGTATTGATTAGTAAGTGTGTAAACTTAGAAGCCATTGGTACAGGTAGAACTTGCCGTTCTAGGTTAACCTCGTACGGACAGACAGACGGACGGTTCAATCACTATATGCCCGGGGGCATAAAAAGGATGATGAAATGAATAAAAATGTTTACTATAATAAGGTTAACGATGAAAATTTTACCAGGCAGTTAAATCGTACTAACTTGCTAATACCAAAAATATAGATAATGTATCTATGTCTCTGCTAATACATAATACCCAAAAGATATTTTGAGTTTCAAAAATGTAAAGATTCTGGTGTTCGAAAAACGGCTGCGAAATAATTAATTGCAAGATACTGGTTTATTAAAAATCATTTTGATTTAAAGCTACATTAAATAAATATGTAAAAATATTTTTGCTGTCGGCCTAAAAACCAAGCATTCTACAGGTTCATTAACCTTTTTAACAGTATCGTTATAAATCTCATCAAATACTGTTCATAAATTAGGATTTTAAATGGAAAACCCCACGGTAACACTAAAGTTCGTATACGAATTTTAACATGCAAATAAAGACTATAATAAGCTTGTGTATGCACTACGTCACTGGAACACAGCAAATATAAGATTTTTTTGTGCAAACGCAATTTAACCGTTTAAGCTTCACGGTGCATTAGGCCTGGGGTTCAGAAAAAATAATCATCTCATAAAAAAGATTAAATTTGTATGAAAATATCCGTTACAATGCGGAAATATACCGTTAAATTAGGCCTACTACTTATAGTCATGTTTGTTGATTTAACATTGATGTACGGATGATCTGAAGGCGGAGTTTCACATGCAAACAAAAATTGTACTTCCGAATTCGCCACAATGAGGTTGCACATTTGTATGCTCATAAAACTCATTTTGGTTGTCTGGACACCAAAATAAGACCTGGAGTCGATATGAAACCCAATTTATTAATGAAATGTCGCTATTTCTGTTTTTATGAAATTTATTAAATGTAACTTTAAGCATTACTAAGACAAAAAAAAAATGCCACCGCATTAATACAACACTAAATAGATCTCTGACCTATCTAATTCTTATTATCAGATTAGTGGTTAAATCTATTGATATTCAAATAAAAGATCAGAGTAGGAATATATCAATGCAGTTGAGTCTAGTGAATTTGGTGGTGCAGGTCTTATTCCACACAGCCTAAATTTCATGACTACATCAAAGGACAACACAGTAAGACACTTTGTCAAAATCTATGTCAGCTGATATCAAAGTTCACTTTACATCTTAATCTAAGCACATGGTTCAAATTTCACAGACAAAAAAGTAGGTCACATCATCAAAATCTAGGTCACCTGATATCAAAGTTCAATTTTACAACTAAAACTGTGCACATGGTCAAAATTTCATTGCTGTACATCAAAGAACAGGAAAGTAGGTCACTGTCCCCTTGGGCAAGGCAAAATTTGACCCAAGGTTTTAATTCAAAACAATCTTGATACAGGTCAACATAATGACAAGCAATGCCCCTGGGCAGGGCCAATTTTGACACCAGGGGAAAAATTTGAACAACTTTGGTAGAGGACCTATAGATGATATTATATAGCAAACATCAAAGCTCTATGCCTTGTACCTTCAGACAAAAAGATTTTTTATTTTTTTATTATATGTACATAATGAAAATCAATGACCCCCGGGGCTGAGCCAATTTTGACCCCAGGGCTATAATTTGAACAAACTTGGTAGAGGTTCCTTTCGCAAAGTCTCATGCCAAATATTTAACCTCTAGCCTTTGTCAATTCAGAAAAGATTTTTACTATATACATATAAGGAAAACTATCGCCTCTGGGGCAGGGCAATTTTAACACTAGGGCATAATTAAAACAACTTTAGTAGAGGACCCATAGATGATATTATATACCAAATATCAAAGCTCTAAGCCTTGTACCTTCAGACAAGAAGATTTTGTACTATATGTACATGGTGAAAATCAATGACCCCCGAAGGTGGGGGCAATTTTGACCCCAGGGCTATAATTTATACAATCTTGCTAAAGGTTCACTACACAATGTTTCATGCAAAAGATCTAACCTCTAGCCTTTGTCAATTTAGAGAAGATGATTTTTTAAGTTTTTACTATATACATATAAGGAAAACCTATAACCCCCGCGGTGGAGCTAATTTTGACACTCAGGCAAAATTTTAACATCTTTGGTAGAGTACCGAAAGATGACATCATATAACAAATATTAAAGCTCTAAGCCTTGTACCTAAATCAGATAAGAAGAATTTTTGATTTTTTACTATATGTACATATTGAAAATCATTGACCCCGGAGCGGGGCCAATTTTGAGCCCAGGGCAATAATTTGAACAATCTTGGTAGAGGTTCACTACAAAATGTTTCATGCAAAATATCTAACCTCAGGCATTTGTCAATTGCTAGAAGAATTTTTTTTAAAGTATTTACTATATACATATAAGGAAGATCTATGGCCCCCCGGCGTGGCTGATTTTGACACTAGAGGCAAAATTTGAACAACTTTGGTAGAGTACCTATAGATAATAACACATACCAAATATCAAAGCTCTAAGCCTTGTACCTTCAGACAAGAAGGTTTTTTAAGTTTTTACTATATGTACATATAGTGAAAATCAATGACCCCTGGGGCGGGCCGATTTTGACCCCAGGGCAATAATTTGAGCAATCTTGGTAGAGGTCTACCAGACAATGCCTTATGCAAAATATCTAAGCTCTAGGCCTTTTGGGTCTTTACAAGAAGATTTTTTAAATTTATTCTTAAAATCACTTTTGGTTACCATGACAACCAGATTTCTGCATGGAATGAATTTCTTTGAACAACTTTGGAAGCCCTTCACCCAAGGATCAATCCTGCCAAGTTTGGTTGAAATTGGACTAGTGGTTTTTTACAAGAAGATTTTTTAAGTTCACTATATAATCTATAGAACACACACACAAACACACACACAAACACACAGGTGAATCACTATATGCCACCGCATCGCAGATGCTGAGGAGGCATAAAAATAATTATCAGGCAAGTTTACTAATATTTATAGTAACTCAAAGAATCAAAGAGTTTGATACTAACTTTGTCTTGTGGTTAATGAACATTGAGAAAGCTCAATGGTCCAATTCCACTGCTTTTTTTAAGCCAAATCCTCTACATTGGTGAATGGGAATATGGCATGTACATGTATGTATAATCCCTCAATTCAAGAATACAAAATTACTCATACACACATTTTCATAGTTTTTGTCAGTTTTATCTGACTTTTGACCTCTATGTATGACCTTAATCAAAGGGACCTGAAACTGTGACACTCCGACTAACAATGGAGAACATTTGTAAAGTATCATTAAAAACCCTTATGTACAAAATGTAGAAGCTTCAGCTTCAGGGACTTGAATTTTGTGCGACACACTCTGACTCAAAATGATGAACATCTGTGCCAGTAATATTAAGATCCCTCAATGCATGTAAATGTTTGCTCTGAAATAAGCAGTTATTCTTCTGATTTTTTAGTCGGACCTTGACATTTGACCTAGAGATCTGATACATACTTGGTACTTTGTCTAATGATGGTGAAAATTTGTATCTAGTGTTACTTAAATCCCACATGAATGTAGAAGAAAGTCTCTGCTGCCCACCAATCCCCTCCTAATCCTTTTTTTCAAATGGCATATAATAATGATATTAAGGTTATCTAACAATTGTGTTTGAAATACATACCTTTTGTTTGTAATACAAAATCCATGCAGTCATATTCTTTGAGGTTAGGTTGTAAAACACTGGATATATCTATAAATAAAACATTATTCATATCTAAGTGTTACATGTACTACTAATGTACAAATCTTTTAAAACAACATTTTTGGTATCTCATGATTTGTTTTTGCACAAGTTTTTACTGAAACATTGGGTATTTCTTAACAATGATGTTCTTGGATTCTGAAATAATATGTTTTTTTTCTGCAGACAACTGGAAAATTTCTTCATTCAATTTTAAACAGTGTTTGGGGAAAAAGGCATTAATAGCAGAGCCACATAGGACATCTTGTAAATGAACTTGAACCAAATAATTGGCAGTTATAGAAAAACCTGTGCTTTACCAAAAAATCGAAACATAAACATCTCAGGTGTGTTCCAACCAAAACATCCTGGCTGACCTTAATACAATTCTTATAGCATATAATATAATTCAAGCTTTTGATCTTATAATAAAACTTTACTCCTAAACAATAAAATATCTTGTCATTCAGTATTCACTTGGCTATATTGACCACTATGAATAAATAAATCGTCATATTCACAAGTTATTAATAAATCTATTCACAAGTTATTAATAAATCTTAAGACCAAACTTTTGAATGAAATTGACATATTTTAAAAAGTTATCAATATACCAGTGAAGAGTTTCCAATTCTTGTAAGTACGAACTGGTTTGGTGATGACATGTCCAGACTGTTTGCTAGTTGCAGTGAAGTTACAACTCCAAATCTTACAGGTTGATACACATCTACAAAATAAATTTAAGTTGTAGTCACCTATGATATATCCCTTCTCATATTACATCAATATTAACAGTCTTATTATTATTCAACTGAAGTTATTTTCTTATTTCAATTTAACTTTTGCTAAATGTTTAGTCAGATCATCAAGTATAGGTAAATTTCTTTTAACTTCCCAGCTTAAATTACAAATGAGAACCTCTAGTTTCTCCTCCTGTGTTATTTCAGGACCAACTAATGCCTGCTAGTCAAGTAAGCTTAAAACTTTACATATAAAATTTAACAAGCTCAATGTGGATAAAAAAAATCAAACCCACATCAGCTATCGGTACTAATTTAATTAGAGAAAATTAGGTTTTATCTATCAATTTAACCTGACCCTTGCTCTTCTAGAAGTGAATGCAATTAGCCATTGCAACCAGTATAAATCAAGGTCAGATTGTATATCTGTATAGTCTGACCGGGATTTTTATTTTGGTAGCTTAGTTTTTGTATTTTCATATCTCTTAAAATTGGAATGAACAGTTCTAAGTTCAAAGCTAGGCAAATCCATTATACAATTTTAGCAGGCTAGAAGTTCATAATTTAAATATCATATTTTTCTTTAAAAAATGTCTTATAAGCAAATAACTGAAACAGTATATTCATACCCAAATCTCAACAACATGCATTCAAAACTCTTAGATAACATACAGAAATTAGTAACAAACCATGAGATGTCACTCTTAAAGCTGTAAGATAGAACTGATGGAAGGCGGGTCCTTGTTGTTGTGGGGCAGATCCTGGTGGCTGAGGGGAGGAGTTAAAATCAAAATAACCAATCACTGCATTCTGAAAATAGATGGATAGTCTATAGTAACTAAAAAATTTAATATGAAGTACTATTGACATTTTCATCAGTTTATTACTTGTATATAGTACCAAGTTTGTGAACTTCCTTTTATCCTTTTACAAGCATATATTAAGTAACATTTGTATTATTTTACACAAAAAGACTGTAATGACAACTTAAAATCCCTCACTATTTTGACTGTTTGAAAGTTGCAATGAGGTAAGCGGTATGACAATTATGCACAATACATACATGTATGTAAATACTTAAGTTGTTAAATTTATAAACATATTTCTGTAAGTTTAATTAATGTTATAAAGTTGAAGACTTACATCATTTTGAACAATAAACTCTTTAATCTGTCCATCTGTTCTCAGTGACTTTAGAGGATATATAAAACTTTCAGCAAACCTTACAAAGTACTCAGCTTCTTTTATACCTACAAAAAGAAACAATTTGAATTACCAACTAAATGTACTGTAAGTTATTCTGTTTACAATGCAGTTATCACAGTTCAATTTGGGTATATGGTGATTTTTATACTTTTCATCCTGCAGATACAATATAATCAAAATATGCTCACAAACAACTTAACCTTTAACTTTAAAATACTGTAAAATATCAGCAATCCAAAATAATAATGAAATTATCTTTTTTACTTAATATTCAACAAATGTCTCTGGGGCAGTGAAATAAATCCTCGGAAAAAGTACAAGTACATTGTACTTGTTATTCTAACTTGAAGGAATCATTACTATGACATTAAAGCTGCACAACTCCAGATGAGCCCAAATATTTCCAGAAATTCAATCTTTAGAAAAATGTATTAAGATCTTAAGAAAATTAAAAGATTCAATATTTAATTAATTATTTACATGTTATGTGCGATTAATGACTGATTTTGCAGTATCAATCACTATAATTCTACTGCGTTACTAACCCAGTAAGAGGTATTTATGTATATTTTGACCTCTTTTTGGTAATTAACATGGATTTCAAGTGCCGTTTGCAATGTGTAAATTACCCTCTTTGTTCACTTCACAATATTTTACTTTAAAATACATTTTAAAATTTTCGTGAAAATTAGCATGAATCTGGAGGCATGCTGCTTTAATAACATTAAACAATATAAAAAATCCTGCCTGTAAATCTGTAACCATCTGTAACGCCAGTATGGTAAATAAAGAGCTCAGGATAGGAATAAAACTTCATCCTCTGTCTACATTCTCCCTCAACATACCAGCAATTGATAGCTACAAACTTCACCTTGAATTAAATTTAATAACATAACATTATTTATTTCCAATAGTGTTTCACTCATTTACATGTATAATTTAATAAGAAAACATGCATTGATATATGAGTTTGAATTATGTCTAATGATTCTTATCATTACTAATACTGAATCAGCAGGAACATTAAGGACAAATTAGGGGGAAAAAAAGCTCTTAACAAATCCTTCTTTACAATAACATGAATTTCAAAGACGAAAAAAAAAATATGCGCAACTTACAGTGCTATATAGAACTTTAGCAGCTCTGATGAATTCTCCTCTTACTCGAACAGATTGAGCACACCAGGGTGCATAGTACATGACAAAGATCAACTCTTCATCACCAAGAAGCTTGACAACAGGTTGAAGATTTCCAAATGGGTAATCTGCAACTCGGCTATGAGATGGGAAAAATTTCTGTGGCAAATTAGCTGTCTGAGTAATCTGCTTCTGATGAAAGCTGAAAATTCAAATTAACATATTTTAACTTCAATTCTACAGGGATTGTTTTTGTTCTAATCTTTGGTCAATGCAATGAATTATGTCCAACTATCGGTGTAGGGTCATTTTAGTGGGAATTTTACCTTCAGACTAAGGGTGTAGATGAGCTTGACAATCCAAAAGTCAAAGTCACTGCTTTTCTCCTGGGGTTTCAATAGACTGACCAGTACAACCATATTCTATATAAATCATAATAATGTAGCACTTATTCAGCATGTGCATTGTGCAATCAATTACAAAATTAATGGTTCCTGTGCCCTTTGTTAAAAATGATTTCTAAAATGTGTGGAACATTTCAAAACTTGGGTGTATACTGTATAGCAGTTCAAACATTTTTTTCTTCCTTCTTTTTAAAAATTAATGTAGCTTAAGAACCCGTACACAACATTCTGCAAAAGACATACATGTATCATTAAATATGACGGTTTGTTGAATAGGACATTTTGTTGAAAATGCCAAATTTTGGTTGACACCGAGACTATGACAACTGATAGAAAATAAATTTTAACACTGAAAATCAATTGAAATTGCCCCCAACACATTAATTCTAAGGCAGTCTTTGTTAAATGGCTATAATTTTAAGTAAATAACTAAACATAAATAATAGTCAGCTTAGTCAAAACTACTGTTAACTATGACCAAAGCATCATAATAAGGTGTGGGTCAGATCGGATCGATACATGTAGATTTCAAAGTCCATGAAAAAAAGTGTAAAAAAGTACAAATTTATTCATTTTCTTGTTTTCAAACCACAGGCAGACTACCCATGTCTGTATGTTATACTTATAATGATTTCTTCGTAATTTAATTAATTAATTAGTTTTGAGAAAAAAAAAATATATTATTTTGTTTGCAAAATAAATTGTTTATTTACTTTTAATATTATTATATTCATTATTTATTTTATTTGTTGGTTTAAGAAACAAATCATTTGTATAATTGATCACAGAGAAAGTTTGCATGTCTTATCCGCCGATTATTTAACACTAATCATATGACATAAAGGTGTTTATCGTGTGGAAAGATGAGTGCCAAGCAGGTACCATTTCTCAGCATCTCTTGACAAGACTTCTTCGTAAAAGATATGCCGCATCCATGGAGCCTTATTCGACGTCTGGGACAAGTACAAAGATGATGAGATGACTACTTCTCAACTACTGAGGTTATGTAGCCAGGTTTCAGGAATAGGATCCAACAACTTCAATGACGGGATTTATGAGGACTATTTTTAAGTTTTATATAGAGTGATGAATAAAGAATAACAAGAGGGCCATGATGGCCCTGAGGTCGCTCACCTGTATATAGGCCCCCCCCCCCCCCCCCAACGTTGCAGGGCCAATTTAACCCAAGGGCTTTTATTTGCACAAACTTGGTAGACACCCATAAGAAGATGTTTCATACTAAACATCTAAGCTCTAGCTCATTGGGCTTTTTAAAAGAAGATTTTTTTAAAGTTTTTACTATACACATATACAATGACACCCCTGGGGCCGGGCCAGTTTTGACCCCAGGGCTTTTATTTGAACAAATTTTGTAGACACTTACTAGAAGATGTTTCATGCTTAATATCTAAACTCTAGCTATTTGGTTTTTTTTAAAGAAGATTTTAAGTTTTTGCTATACACATATAAAGAAAATCAATGACCCCCGGGGCGGGGCCAATTTTGACCCCAGGTCTTTTATTTGAACAAACTTTGTAGACACTCACTAAAAGATGTTTCATGCTTAATATCTTAACTCTAGCTATTTGGGTTTTTTCAAAGAAGATTTTTTAAGTTTTTACTATATGCATATAGGGAAAATCAATGACCCCCCGGGGCGGGGCCAATTTTGACCCCAGGGCTTTTATTTGAACAAACTTGGTAGACACTCACTAGAACATGTTTCATGCTAAATATCTTAGCTCTAACTCTTTTGGTTCTTTAAAAGAAGATTTTTTAAGTTTTTACTATATGCATATAGGGAAAATCAATGACCCCCTGGGGCGGGGCCAATTTTGATCTCATGGCTTTTATTTGAACAAACTTGGTAGACACCTATTAGAACATGTTTGATGCTCAATATCTTAGCCATAGCTCTTTGATTTCTTTAACCCTTTCCCCCATGAGCATATTGTGAAAAATGGCCATTTTCACTGAAAAGCCTCCTCTAACAAGTTCAAACTGCTATGAAAAATGCTTCAATACTAATCAAACTTGGCACAAATGTTGACTGGACCATTGCCTTTGTAACGACATGCTCAGTCTTAAATTTCCTGTTACCATGGCAACGAGGGGACATCTCAAAATTGCCAAAAATCACTTTTTTGCCTCGATTTTTTCCATCAAAATTTACTTCAAAGTGCTGCAACTTCTCAAGGGATTGAGATAGAGTCAAAGGCTTTTCAGCGTTGGTTACACGTTACCTTATGATCAACCTGGGGTCATTTTAAGCCTCTCACAAGTCCAAAATTTTCTTGGCGATGAGGGGGACTCCGCCCCCCTTCAAACCCCCCAAACAGAAGGGGGCACATCCCCCTTCTGGCAACCCCCTGATGTATTATTTGGATGGGGGGGCGGCGCCGAAAAAATGGTCACTTTTTTTTTACAACATTTCTCGAACGAAAAACAGTGTTTGGGGTCTAAATAGGACATTTTTTCACTGTTTGAGGCCTCAAAAAGGGGGGGGGGTCAAAAAGCCGCCGAAACACGCTTATATAAGGGAAAAGGTTAAAAGAAGATTTTTTAAGATTTTACTATATGCATATAGGGAAAATCAATGACCCCCGGGGCGGGGCCAATTTTGACCCCAGGGCTTTTATTTGAACAAACTTGGTAGACACCCATTAGAACATGTTTCATGCTAAATATCTTAGCTCTAGCTCTTTGGGTTCTTTAAAAGAAGATTTTTTAAGTTTTTACTATATGCATATAGGGAAAATCAATGACCCCCCGGGGCGGGGCCAATTTTGACCCCAGGGCTTTTATTTGAACAAACTTGGTAGCCACTCACTAGAAGATGTTTCATGCCAAATATCTAAGCTCTAGCTCTTATGGTTTTTTAAAAGAAGATATTTAAAGTTTTTTCTTTCGGTTGCCATGGCAACCAGAGTTCTGCATGGAATTAAATTCTTTGAACAATTTTTAAAGGTGACCACCAAAGGAACATTCCTGTGAAGTTGGCTTAGTGGTTTATGAAGAGATGTCATTTAAAGTAAAAGTTTATGGACGGACGGACAGACGATGGACGGACGCCGGACGAAAAGCGATCACAAAAGCTCACCCTGTCACTTTGTGACAGGTGAGCTAAAAACAGATTGTTGTTGTTTATTACGTAGAAATCATGCTGTATTCTCTTTAATACTATGCCACAGGGCCGGCAAAATTTGATTTTGACTTACTCCTCCGTTTTAATGTGAAGCATTTTTTTACTTGTCCGTATGATATTTACGTAGTTTATTCTTGAAAACTTTCACTTGTTCGTACAGGCGGACAGACAACCTGGGCAATATGGACAATAGATTTTGCCAGTCCAGTGCATGTGTCAATTGTTTATATAGAGATGAATTAGATGTGTTGTTCATTACGTACAACATTACGTGAAAATGTGTGATAAACCACACATTAAGACCAGTACGATAATTGATGTGCCAATTATACAATAGATATTTTTTGCACCATATAAAATAATGTTTGCTGAAACCTAGCCTTAATATAGCATAAACGGTTCGACCCTTTTTACAGACTTCTTTTCTTACTGCTGTCAAAGCAAATTAAAGTTCTACACCCCTTCACTTCAGCTGTTCAGTTCATTATGACATGCAATTGCTTCATATCGAGACCTTTCAGATGCTGACAAATATTGTTGATTAGACTTTAATTAGCACTTTGATTGAGCAAGTAAGCAAAGTGTACATGTTTCTCAGTTTTGAAATGATGAAAATAATTTAAAAATAAAATATAATTCAATGCATTCAAATTCTCACCCATTTCCTGACTGGAAATAAATTATTATGAAGAGAATAACAGAAATAGTCATCATCAATTTGCTAAGCCTTTGCAGACACGTTAACAGTCGACGTTTCCTTTGATATGACCTCAAATCTGACGTTTGAAGTCTATCTTTCCCACTCTCCATTGGTTTGACAACACGTCAGATATAAACCGGAAATGATCTGCACCGGCTGTCAAACATATTTTATTAGCGATCTCACAATGATAAAGAAAAACATTAAACTGAGTTCGGAAGAATAACAACTTAGAAAAAAACTTAAGTCGGTACATATACTCATTTTATGAAAATAAAAGCATGTGACGACTAAAATTAAAATAACCAAAGAATGTTATTCAGATATGTTTGTTCAGATTTACAAACTACTTTGAGAAAATCCCATTTTTGCGCTGTGGTCAATATCTCCAAAATCAAAATATCCTACTTTAGTTGCGAATTTTGCAAAACCTCGAAAAATGTATTTAAATACAGATTTTTATAATTGTTCACATGGCTTTATCATCACGAATTTAGAACAAACTTTTACAAAGTTATTTAGAGAAAAATAAAGTTTCGTAGCTGCGGCCAAAACATGTTAATGCTAGCTCTATCAAATTTTGTCTTGTGATTTTGTTGATGACTAAAAACTTATCACAGATTGTTTTGTATTTTATTACTGTATCTGATCGGTAGAAAAGGTATATAATTGAATATGTACATGTTTAACTTCTTTGATAAGAACAGTTTTGTTTTAAAGATAAATGAGTGCTTTTGTAAAACATGTACCCTGTTTGCCTAACTGCTTTAGATATGTCCTAAAAACACAATTCTTTTTCACCCCTGTTAAGAATGGGTGAAAAATAATTGTGATTTTGTGCCATATATGAACTGCTTCACTACAGCCTCATATTTCTTTTCCACTTTCTTGAATACTTCAGGTCTTTTTCCATGTCATTGATTTAACCAATGTGTCACCTGTTGGTATACAATGGTTACACATATTTCACATGTTTCAAATATTGAATGATAAAGGCAATAGAAATATATCATATTTCATATTAAAATGCATATAAAAATGAAATATTTCTTGAAACAGACAGCTGAAAATGTTGTGTATGTCTGATTGTCTCATTGAACAGTGTTGACTGTACACAAAATATGTGTTTGATAACCTTAAACATAAATCTGAAATTTAATTCTAAGTGTGAGTCCATTCTTATTGAACTTTATACTGATACAAAGATGTTACCTATGTTCTGTTATATATATGATATATATGCTTTTCTCTCGTCAATTCGTGACTCTTATTTGGAAATATTGCACTTGCACAACAAATATCAGAAATTATCACATACATACAGTTCAAAAACTTGGATAGAATTGTCAAATCGAGTGTCTAATAAAACTTGTGTAGTTTTCGGATGGTGTATGTCCTTGCAGAAGTATTTATACCAGACATTTATTTAGGTCACGAATCGATGAGAAGGCACAAATCGATGAGAATAAGGCATATACTGGTGCCTCATATTTCCGTGGTACTTAAATGTTAGAAGAATAAAATTTGGAAAAATATGTTAATATTGTAGCAAGGACATGTTAATTACATCATAGATTATTCCATTTAATGTTTGCATGTAAGCAATTATGTAAACAACACAGCAATTAACACCTATCTGCTGCCTAGAGAGTTAAGTTGAGTTCTCATATCCAAGGCAAGTTCATTTTAACAGTTTCAAAAGCTAAACCAGTAGTCATCATTATTTCTTAGTTCATCTATTCCTAGCCCTGTCTGAATGTAGGTTTTTTCTTTATGGCATTTATCAAATAGTTGAATACATTTATTTTATGTGACCCTCTATCAAAAATAAAGACTGTTTAAAGTGAAAAAATTAATCATTTTTCATTGAAGCGCCAATAGTGTAACACTAACATTTATCATGTCATGACACTATGTAAGTATGTTTGTATAATTCAAGTGACAAAATCATCATGTCAAATTTAATGCACAGCCTTGCAAAACCATTCATATGGAGTCGAAAAAGTGACATTGGTATACGTGATAAACTGAGTTATAATTATTTTGGGCTTAAACTTAAAAGTACATTATGAGATTTTGTAGTAATCAAGCAAAGTTTAAATGTCTTGAAATGTTTGTAGACATCAACATTTTTATCAATTCAATGACAAATACATGACTTATTTTTCATTACAGAGAAATTTAGTTTATTGAGGGACCAACGATGTCAAATCAGCAACCCCCATCTTATCAGGAGTCTGTAGGCACTGGTACGAAAGTTTTTGTATTTATTTCACAGGGTGAGAAAATATGCTGCCTGACCGGGACTCAAAACCTGGACCCTCAGAATACTGTACTGTGGCTCTACCGACTGAGCTATCGGGCCACTTACACATCTTCTCCCCTAAACAGTGATTTAAACTCTGATCTGTAGTCACAGCTCCAAGTTGGATGCCAAATGTCACAGAGTGAGAAAATGTGCAGCCTGACTGAGACTCGAACCTGGGGCCCTAAACAGTGAACAGTTCTGAACCATGACATCTATTTGAAATTTTGATTTTTATAATCAAATGATTATAATAATCACAACAAAATAAAGTTGTGCTGCTGTTTGTATTCAAATATTGCCGTTATGCTTTTATAAATTGTTGTTTTATAAATGAAACTGCAATTGAGTCAAATATAATGATAAAACTTGTTTTTCTCTGGTTTGGTCCATCTTAAGACACTGAGGATTGAGTTTGTTTGTGGTAAATGAAGAACTTTATGGTCAAGGTCAGTAGATGAATAGTCCACTTACATGTATGTAGTACAAAAAATACATAGGGCCATTTCCTGACATGTCAGTGGCACATGTATGCCCAGCCATACATTGATCATATCAAGAATTATCCTAGTATGCTACAAATCTTCTTTGATATATTCTGTAAATGCTTCAATCTTTTGATGATGTGCTGATGTAAATAGAAATTGCTTTTACTTTTATATTTAAACAAATGAATGAAGAACCAATAAATAAATATAAGGAACAGTCATGCTTCTTAATTTGTGAAACTAATAAGTTAAGTATCAATTTGATGAAGCAAGTGTCTGTAAAATATATGCAGGTAGAACTGTTTGACAGTTTTCACACCAGAACAAATAACATAACTAAATATGAACAGTTTATTAACTTTATTATATTTTGATTTATAATAAAGTCTAAAAAAACAATTTTGAATAGATTTTTTAATGAAGACAATTCTTCAGTTATAATGTTTTATTTTCAGGTGGTTACACAAATTATGGAGCACCCCAGGGGTCAGCCCCTCCAGCAGGACAGTATGACTCCAGCAAGGGTTATCCTGGTCCCCAGGGATACCAGGGTGGGTACCAGCAGATCCCTAGTTATCAGAATCAAGCTCAGATAGTTGTTCAGCCCCAGCCACAGATTATTGTAGTAGGTGGATGTCCCTCATGCAGGGTAAGACAGTCATTAAATACTAGTCTGTTTGTGTTGAACTTGATGAGAGTTTTCTTCACTATTAATATATATTAAAAGTCTTGTCACCAACAGAAGTACAATAAAATTATATGTGTTAGTAACACATATAATTTTATTGTACTTCTGTTGGTAACACACCGAAAAAATCTTCTAATAGCTTGGCTCAATTTCTGATTGGAAAATATTAATTATTTTATTTGGTTGTAAACATAATACTAACACTTATTCTGTACCAAACATTAATTGCATAAATTTGTTCACCAGATATACTGTTATTACTTTCAACTTAAATCATAATATCAAGATGTTTTTTTCCCCCATTGCTGGGAAAAAAATAGGTTACTTAATTTTTGTTTGTTTTTTTGGAATTTCTAGAGGTATATGTTTTGCCATACTTTTTTTAAAATAGGTAATTTGGTGTGGATTTAAATACAAAAATTTTCAAAAATACGAAAATACTTGTAAATGTCATCTTGTTTTTTAAATGAAACAAAGTTTTTGAACAACTACGTTTTTGACATTGAAAGTGTATATTATTTTCTATAATCAGTAATAATTTTTGGGTTTTATTAAAAATTTTTACACTCTTGCTTGCTTTTTTTTTTTCAGTTTGGTGTTTGGAAGATGTTTCATGCCTTGGGTTTGTTGTAATTTTGTTCTTTCCATGGAAATTTTGTGTTTTTTTAGAAATAAAGAAAGGCGTTTCCCAAATTGGGGAGCAGTTTTTGGATAAGAATCACATTCTCAAGTACTTGTGGAAAATTATGCAGTAAATCAAACTGTAAAAAGTTATACCTATACAGGTTGAAATTTGAAAAAAATCAAATTTTATTTTGTTATTCAGACATTTGTCAGATTGTATGTTAAGCATTAGAGATTGATATTCAGGGAATGTCCAATGCATAAATAAATTTTGATTGGTATATACTTTATGCAAATACAATCTTCTTTATTAACTTGTGAAAAAGTTTCTTATAATGCTGAATAAACTTAACAATTTCTTTCAAATTCTGAAGCTTATCTTCTAATGTAAAATCATTTTTGTTAAATGTAGAACACTTATAATAACTCAAAAGATATCATGGCAAAAGAAAAAAGATATGTATGCATCATTGTGTGTGTCTTTTAATATTTTTGTTCATTATTTGTGTTCGGGCTTGATAATGTATCAATAAATAGTTTCAGTAAACATTCATGCTTTTTATTGATTGAATGCAAACAAATGTGTAATTTCTCAAACTTCTCTTTATTTAATTTCTTGAAATGATTCACTAATAAGATTTCGAAACTTGAAATACAGTATTTAATGGTTTTAAAGAACAAAACATACATGTTTGTATTTTGACCAGTGTTTTTGACAAAATATACACTAAAATGGTTAACTTATTTTACGTTTTTCAATTGGGAGGACCCCCCAGCTTAACAATACTGTCTGTATTCATAAATTCAAATTAGAAAAAAAAGAAGTTTTCCTTTCATGCAAAAATAAGCATTGTTTTTTGTTTAAAATTTGTAATCTTTTGGGACTTTGTAAATTTCATATTTAATTTAAAACAAAAAAATTTCCTAAAAATTTTGTTTGTTTTTTTTCAAGTTACTTATAACTTTATTTATATATCTTTGATTCAAAATGTGGAAGTGCAACTATAATAAAATGAATTCAAGTGCTGTAAAATGTTATCAATTAAAAAAAATGTTTATTTTGGTTACCCTGTATATGTAGATATGATTTTTTTACATATTAAATTATATTTAAATTTATTAAAAGACTTATTTTAAATTTAAGTTTGTGGTAAACTATATATTATATATGATGTAACATTTAGTAATGATATGAATTCCCGTTTAATCATAAAAAAAATACATTTATGTTTTTTGTTAATCTTTATTGTGTTTTTTGCTTCTATTGTTTATACAAAAAAAAATTTATGTCAATTCTTTTTTGTATTTTTTCCCGGTAGAATCTTTTTTGAATATATATGGATTAACACCGTATAAATTTTAAATAAGGGGTTGTTACTTTTGTAAAGTTTTTTTTTGCGATTTAACATTGTAAAAAAATGTGGACTCTTTTTTTCTACAACTAAAATCAAATTGTAAAAGAAAGAGATTTACACCAAAAAATAATATAAAATGAAAAAATATTTTTTGACATAATTTAAATTTTTTAAATTTAAGGAAAAATTTTTTGCTCTTTTACTAAAAAATTGCATAAAAACCTTTCTTATCAATCTTTTTGTTTAAATTTTTTTGTTTTCCCATAATTAAATGTCATTTTCCCCAAGACCCATACCTCTGCTTTGACTTGACTGAAAAATGAACCTTTGTGAACTTTATTTAAAAAATTTTGGGGTTTTGCTAAAAATTCAATCTTCTTTGTGATATCAAGCAAAAAACTGGATTATTTGAAGGCCCAGTTCCCAAAGTTGATATTTTAAATTTTTTTATTAAAATTTTCTGTAAAATTCTACATTTTTTGGGCTTTTGTTTTTATAACCCCTACGAATGTAAAATTTTTGTTTCTTAGTTTTTTTTGTTACTACATTTTTTTTGATTTATTAAATTATTTACTTAATTAAAATAAGCTGTTTAAAACTTCAAAGATAAGTTTCTGGTTTAAAAAACAAGGAAGTACAAAATCTTAAAAAATGAGATGAAATTTTTTTTGATTTTAAAAATCCTGTAGTTGCAATTAAGGTTAAAAACCTTAAAAGTGAATTTTATTTATGTATTAAAATTCTTCTAAAATAAAACATCCAAAATATTTTAAAATATGTGCTGAATTGTTTATGGATTAAAAAATCTTAGAATGTCTGATTCTTTCTTAGTGAAAATTTGGTTAGACTTTAAGAAAAAAATTTTCAAAATTATCCTTTTTTACATGAATTGTTAATAAAGATATCTTTACAAAACATTAATGTTTTTTTTGGAATTAAATATTTTTAAACTTTATTTTAGCCAAAATTTATTATATAAAACCTAGAAAAAAAGGAGTTTCGGATTTTTAAACATTGGATGAGAACTTTTAAATTTTTTAGATTGTGAATGTTTTTGTAAAATAGATGTAAATTTACATTTTAACTTAACTAATATAGAATAAAGTTATATAAAGGTGTATCGTAAAAAGGTGTTTTACAACATTTTTTGAAAATTATCTTTGTTTTTTTCTAATGCGTATTGAATAAATGCTGATGTGTTATGAGTAAGCATGTCTTAAATTTTTTTTTTTTTAGCCCGTCCCCCCGTGACAGGGGGGTTTTGTGAAAACGTTTTGTCCGGGGGTCCCGTCCGTCCCGTCTTCTAGTGAGTGTCTACCAGGTTTGTTCATAATCAAATAAAAGCCCTGGGTCAAAACTTGCCCCGCCCTGGGGGTCATTGATTTTCCCTATATGCATATAGTAAAAACTTAAAAAATCTTCTTTTAAAGAACTGTAAGAGCTAGAGCTTAGATATTTGGCATGAAACATCTTCTAGTGAATGTCTACCAAGTTTGTTCAAATAAAAGCCCGGGGGTCAAAATTGGCCCCGCCCCATGTGGTCATTGATTTTCCCTATATGCATATAGTAAAAACTTAAAAAAATCTTCTTTTAAAGAACGCAAAGAGCTAGAGCTAAGAATATTTAGCATGAAACATCTTCTAATGAGTGTCTACCAAGTTTGTTCAAATAAAAGCCCTGAGGTCAAAAATTGGCCCTGCCCCAGGGGGTCATAGATTTTCCCTATATGCATATAGTAAAAACTTAAAAAAATCTTCTTTTAAAGAACCAAAGAGCTAGAGCTAAGATATTTGGCATGAAAACATCTTCTAGTGAGTGTCTACCAAGTTTGTTCAAAAAAAGCCCTGGGGTCAAAATTGGCCCCCCCTGGGGGTCATTGATTTTCCCTATATGCATATATTAAAAACTTAAAAAATCTTCTTTTAAAGAACCGTAAGAACTAGAGCTTAGATATTTGGCATGAAACATCTTCTTGTGAATGTCTACCAAGTTTGTTCAAATAAAAGCCCTGGGGTCAAAATTGGCCCCGCCCCAGGGGGTCATTGATTTTCCCTAAATGCATGTAGTAAAAACTTAAAAAATCTTCTTTTAAAGAACCCAAAGAGCTAGAGCTAAGATATTTAGCATGAAACATCTTCTAATGAGTGTCTACCACGTTTGTTCAAATAAAAGCCCTGAGGTCAAAATTGGCCCTGCCCCAGGGGGTCATAGATTTTCCCTATATGCATATAGTAAAAACTTAAAAAATCTTCTTTTAAAGAACCCAAAGAGCTAGAGCTAAGATATTTGGCTTGAAACATCTTCTAGTGAGTGTCTACCAAGTTTGTTCAAATAAAAGCCCTGGGGTCAAAATTGGCCCCGCCCTGGGGGGTCATTGATTTTCCCTATATGCATATATTAAAAACTTAAAAAATCTTCTTTTAAAGAACCGTAAGAACTAGAGCTTAGATATTTGGCATGAAACATCTTCTTGTGAATGTCTACCAAGTTTGTTCAAATAAAGCCCTGGGGGTCAAAATTGGCCCGCCCCAGGGGGTCATTGATTTTCCCTATATGCATATAATAAAAACTTAAAAAATCTTCTTTTAAAGAACCCAAAGAGCTAGAGCTAAGATATTTAGCATGAAACATGTTCTAATGGGTGTCTACCAAGTATGTTCAAATAAAAGCCCTGGGGTCAAAACTGGCCCCGCCCCGGGGGTCATTGATTTTCCTTATATGTGTATAGCAAAAACTTAAAAATCTTCTTTGAAAAAACCCAAATAGCTTTAGTTTAGATATTAAGCATGAAACATCTATAAGTAAATATCTACAAATTAAAGCCCGGGGGTCAAAACTGGCCCTGCCCCAGGGGTGTCATTGTTTTTAACTATATGTGTATAGTAAAAACTTAAAAATTCTTCTTTTAAAAAACCCAATGAGCTAGAACTTAGATGTTTAGCATGAAACATCTTCTTATGGGTGTCTACCAAGTCTGTTCAAATAAACAAATAAAAGCCCTTGGGTAAAAATTGGCCCGGGGGGGGGGGCTATATACAGGTGAGCGACCTCAGGGCCATCATGGCCCTCTTGTTTGTATATTTCTATGGCCTTATCATTTTTTACCTCACCTTAAATCATATCTTTGGGGTAAAAATTAGCCCTGTCCTGGGGAAGACTTAGTTTATAAAGACTTAATAAAAGGGAAATAAATCTAAATCTATGTATGTAAAGTACTGCAATAACTAGAGCTTAGATCTATATTTACCATGTGTTTGTGTCTTGTGGGTCTCCACAAAAATGATTTAAATCATGCCCTTGGGTAAAATAAACCTCTTTTTTGTGGTCACTAAAGTTATTAGTCCTCTACTGGTTTAACACAAATGGTGTTTTAACGGTTGGCATTAGACAGGGTTGGCATTAGTCTAGAAAATGATGTTTCTTACACTATAGAGGAAAAAGAACACATTGTCCGTTCAAAAAACAAGCATGCCTCTCAAGGCCATATTCCTATGTCTAGAGCTTTGGGCCTTGTATTACTGTAAAGAAGAATCTCTCAATACAATTTCCAATCTTGAACGGAAACACACAAATAGTGTTCGATTGGTAGGCCTTTTAAGATTTTTTCCCCACTTGACTAAAAATGACCATGCCATGCGGAAATCTAGAGGTCATATTCCATGGACTAGACCTTTGTGTCTTATCTTACTGTAAATAAGAACCTCATTCCCAATCCTCAACGGAATTGAATAGTGTTGGGTCGGTAGTCCAGAATAATAATATCTGTCATATTTTGCGGTTCGGATCGGAATATCCGTCCCGAGGTGACCCGCCCATTGGGCGGTAACGAGGCTTGCCGAGTTACCGCCCATGGGCGGGTGACCGAGGGACGGATATTCCGATCCGAACCGCAAACATATGTCAGATATTTTTTCTTGCATATTCTACCATATTCCATTATACTTTAAATTCCTTATCTTTATTTTCAATGAAAATTAATATCATTACAACCGTAACTACTTTCTTACAACAGCGTATGAATTACATCTTCATTCATAACGGTAAAATGACGTCATCCTAATCGTGCCATTGTACAGCACGCGACTCATCTGGAACCCCCCATGCCAGATGAAATATCCGGCATGGGTAAAACTCACGGAAACGCCAGTCTGATATGCAAGAATATGATGTTTTATTTACGATATTTTTTTCACTTAATATGAAGAAAGAACAAATCGCTGGTAAAAAAAACGACAATGCCAAGCGGATATCTCTGGGTCATATTCCTTGGCTAAGAGCTTTGTGCTTTATATTACTGTAAAGAAGAATCTCCTAGATCTCGGAATATGGTGTTTTTTACGAATTGTTTTTCATCTTATAATATAAGGAAAGAACAAATCGCCGGTCCAAAAAGCGACAGTGCCACGAGGAAATCTCGAGGCCTTATTCCTTGGACTAGAGATTCGTGCAATAAAGAAGAACCTAAAAAATAATATGATTTTTAATCCGCAACGGAATCACATAAATGCTGTTTTAACGATTGACATCAGAAAATGGTCATTTACGAACATTTTACGAAGGGCCATAATTAAGTCAAAAATTATCCAATCACAAAACCCCACCAATATGCGCCAGGGCACTTGATGACAAAGCTTCTGTGAAAGTTTGAACAAAATCCGTTGAGAAATGTAGGACGAGTTCAGCACAGAAGAATTTGTTCACTATATATTGATAATTCTGTATAAGGATAAAAAACAAAGGGCCATAATTAGGTCAAATATTATCCAATCACAAAACCCCCATAATATGTTTCAGGGCACTTGATAACAAAGCTTCGGAGAAAGTTTGGTCAAAATCCGTTGAGAAATGTAGGAGTTGCGCACGAAAGAAATTGTTCACTATACATTCTATATAAGAAAAAACAACAAAGGGCCACAATTAGGTCAAATACTATCCAATCACAAAACCCCACCAATATGCACCAGGGCACTTGATGACAAAGCTTCTGCGAAAGTTTTGGTCAAAATCCGTTGAGAAATGTAGGGGGAGTTCAGCACAGAAGAAATTGTTCACTATATATTCTATATAAGGAAAAAAAACAAAGGGCCATACTTAGGTCAAATATTATCCAATCGCAAAACCCCGATAATATGCCTCAGGGCACTTGATGACAAAGCTTCTGAGAAAGTTTGGTCAAAATTAATCCGTTCAGAAATGTAGGAAGAGTTCAGCACAGAAGAAATTGTTCACTATATATTCTATATAAGGAAAAAAAAACAAAGGGCCATAATTAGGTCAAATACTATCCAATCGCAAAACCCCTGACAATATGCCCCTGGGCACTTGATGACAAAGCTTCTTTGAAAGTTTGGTCAAAATCCGTTGAGAAATGTAGGAGGAGTTGCGTACAGAAGAAATTGTTCACTATATATCAAAACGAAGAAAACAAATGTTTACGCCCGCCCGCCCGCCGACATACCTCGATCAATCTAATAACCAGTTTTTTCCTTCGGAAAACCTGGTTAAAAATGGTGATTCTTACCAAATAGTGTACACTTTATATAGAAAAAGAACAAATCGCCGGCCCAAAAAAATTGACCAAGCCAATGCGGAAATCTCTTAGCCATTTGCTTTTGTGCTTTATATTACTGTAAATAAAAACCGCCAAACTAATATAATACAATTTTCAATCTGGAACAGAATCACAAAAACAGAGTTTGATCTGCAGACCTCTGAATATTGTGTTATTTACGATTTTTTTCACTTAATATTAAGAAAGATCAATCTCGCATTCGGACCAAGCCACGCGGAAAGTAGGCCCTATTCCTTGGCCTAGCGTTTTGTGGTTTATATTACTGTAAAAAAGAATCTCCTAACTAATAAGAGGTTAATACACGGCAGGAGAGGGCCGGAAGGTGATAATCGGCCCGCAAAATGAATAATGGACCCGAGGGCTTTAGCCCGAGGGCCATTATTCATTCAGGGCCGATTATCAACTTCCGGCCCTGCTCTGACGTGTATTAATGTCTTTAATACACTTGTAGCATTAAAACAAAAACAAGAAAACAACAACAAAGTTCTTTCGTTGTAATTCTTGTCTACTCTGCTACTGTTCTGTACAAAGTTGCGTTCAAAGCAGTAGAATCTAGAAGCAAGTTTTATTTCTATTTTTTTTTCGGAATGAATTTGTCGTATTATTTCTTCAAATTTCAATAGTAACAAAAATGTGTTTGTACTAAATACGCTTAAGCTCTCATAATAAAAATAAAGCGATTCGTGTTGACAACCTACTTTCACTATTACAGTTAACTGTTTGATGACGTAAAATATGACGTCATTGTTTCAGTTTGTGCACGTGCACATGTTCTGCGGGCTGATAACTAGTTTTCGGCCCCGGGCCGCAAACTCATAATAGGTCACGTGACACTCATAATCAGTTGAAATCATAGGCAATTTTGTTACTATATATAGTAACAAGTGTATTAATACAATTTCCAATCTGGAACGAAATCACACAAGTAGTGTTTGATCGGTAGGCCTCTAGATATGTTTTTTAAGATTTTTTTTCTCACTAGTCTTGATATTAAGAAAGAACAATTTCCAGTCCTCAACGGAACCACGCAAAGGGAGTTTGAACGGTTGTCATTAGAAAATGGTGTGTTTTTTTTTAAACAAAAAATGTTCGCTTTAAACAGAAAAGGAAGAAATCGCCTGTCAAAAAAAAACCCACACGCACACGCACACACACGCACACACGCACACACACACACTTTGTGCCTTACATTACTGTAAAGAAGAACGTCCAAACTAATAAAATTTTCAATCCTCAACGGAATCACAAAATAGTGTTGGGTCGGTAGTCCTCATCATTTGCTTTTTTTTCTACGATTGTTTTTTACTTAATTTCAAGAAAGAATAAATCCAGTCCAAAAAAAGAACCATGCCACGCGGCAATCTCCAGGCCATATTTAATTCATTGGCTTAGCGTTTGTGCCTTATATTACTGTAAAGAACCTCGATTATGCCACGTGATAACACAAAAAGCACCCACAATATTTTTTATATAGATGACAGGCTAGAGATTATGCATGTTTTTTTTTGTCTTCGTTATTAAAAATTTGGTTGTGATGGCAATAATTAAATAAACTTAAAATTTGGCAAATTTAGCATTGTAAATCCCGCGATAACGCAAAAAAATATTGAAAAATATATTTTTTTATGAAACTATTTATAGGTAGATGACAGTCTGGAGATTAACTAACATCTTTTTATTTCTAACTTAGTTTATACAGACTTACTAGTATATAGGAAAACACATTTCTTGTATGTCTTACATACACTATTGATATAAAGAAAGAAACTACGTTTTAAAGTTTTTAATGAATTCTTAACATTTGCAGACATTATACATGTAATAATTATATGTTATAGTCTTTAAGGTAATATAATAAATAGAAGAAAACAATTCTGTGATTGTATTAATTGAATGACAATGATTTAATACTGAATTTATACGTGTAAATATATCTGTTATAGTCTATAAAGGTAATAAAACACATGTATAAAGAATAAAACAATTCTGTGATTGTATAAACAGTATGAAAATGATTTAATTCTGAATTTATATATGTACAATATATCTTGTTATAGTCTATAAAGGTGATATAATAAATGTATAAAGAAAAAAAATTTGTGATTGTATAAACAGTATGAAAATGATTTAAATTATTAATGTATACAAGACACACCATTACTAGAATTAGACACTCCATATTCCATCTCAAGGCTGTTCTGTTGGGTTAATCTTAACTTCATGGACCTTAAAAAGAAATTAGAATTCTGGAGGTAAAATATAAGTGAAATGTGTTGCAACATGTTTCAGCAAGCAGTTGCTTCCCAATTTCTTCCAAAGAGCAAGTTTGTACACGATTTAAAATCAGAAATAGATTATAATGATTTTGGTTCCATTAAACAGAAATAACAATGTCCTTACATAAGAGGACAGTAGTTTAAAATGACATTAAAAGTTACATTTTTGCTGAGATCAGGACTTAAGTTGTTGCATACAAAGAACACCATTTTATTTTATTTTAATTCAAATGTTATTTTCAAATCATTCCATTTCAACGTTATACAAAGAAAAATATGCAACTTTGATATCCAAAGAAACATACTTATATAACATGTATGTACACATCTGAAGACAGTTCACTAAAGGATAGAAACAAGGCATATTAGTGTAACAAACTATGGGCTGAAATGAGTGTATACTACAGAATGTATGGTTTTACCTAAAACAACATGGCCCTATAACCACATGGCATAAAACCACATTACAGTGGTTGTCTGGGTGCGTTAAGTGTAGTCTTCTCTTAACTTAAGAGAATTGGTGTTGAAATGGACATGAAAACTAAGTTATACTTAACTAACAATGTGAAAGACCTACCTGTACATGTTTAGGTGCACTTAGTGCATATATAACTCCATCAGCTATATCCACTGGCTTCAAACTCTGCAAAAATAGATAAAATTTGTCAGCCATTTATTATCGATTATATACGTAAACTGATAGTAAAAAACAATCTAATCAGTTTCAATATTTCTATGAATAAGATGAAGAGAGAATATTTGATACAGTTATATAACAGAAAATACAGTTTGTACATAGGCAAAGTTTAGGCTGGTCCAACTGATTGATAAGCATGAAATAAAATAAAAATATACTGTTAACATTCTCTACAAAATGATCATCACATATGCAGAAGTTAATTGAAATTTCTGTAAATTCACATTAAAATATTATAAGACCTAACGCAGCTAAATAGTGTAGTGAAAAAGCAGAGGCCCATTGAGCATGTAATAGCAAGACATAAAAGAACATGGGGGTGGAACATGAAAAATTCCACAACAACATGTACATGTAAAAGTAATGTAAACTGTTTTAGGTCATCAAATTAACTGCAAATAGGTAAATGAAAAATGAAATGGCCTATCAAATATTTGAAGACACACCTCAAAAGCACTGTATTTCTTCACTGCTACCTGAGGGTCATGAACATACATCCTGTGAGCAAAGTTTGTCTCCGTCAAACCAGGACTGATGCTCTGTAATTAATTTATACAATATAATATTTATCCACAACAAAAGGATTTTTTTGTTTTTTTTACTAGTATTTCTTTATTTAAACATAAGTATATAAAAATCAAATAACCCATTGCACAGCATGCCCTAAATAAGACTTTCACAGGCCAGTAGTTAACTTCTATTAAATTTAGAAGGACTTAACACGTTACTGCACTAAAGTGACGATATAATATTTTGATACTTGACTGCAGCTTCCTTTGCCTAACACAGTCACCAGTCAGGCCTTATTATTGCAAATATAAATTTTGTAATAATGTGCATTTGTAGACCACAAATGTAAAATATATTTATTACTAAACAGCCTAAAATATACATAATCAAATAAACATGGCGTTTGTCATCTTGTCATCTGTAAACATAATAAAGAACGTAAATTTCATTTTAGACCACATTTTGATGTGTGATTGTGTATGTATATAATTATACAATGTACCAAATTTTGCAACAAGTAAATGCCGTGATCCTTTTATGTATCTATATTTTTTCTTCAAAAAATGTTATGGAAGACTCATTATAAATGAGTAGAGTAAGTGATGTTAATAACATTACGGTCACTCTAATATGTGTTTTTGAAAGTGACAATTCATTCCTTAATCCATCCAGTAGAGCAGTAACAGCAAACTTGGTGGCACTGTAAAAATGTCCGTCTGGATTTGAAGCATACTGTTTATGACCAACTCCGCTAAAAAAAGAAGTCTTGAAAACTGATTGAAAACAGAAATAGAAAATGTATGTCAAACCATTCCGGTTTGACGACATACTAATTCACGCTATGCTACATGCAAGAAATTTCTTAAGTAGATCTGAACTTTAGTCAGAATAAGTCATTGAATAATTAAATTATGAGAAAAGTGAATGATGCTTGAATAACTGTTAAATTTATCATGAAGTACAATACAATTTTGACAAAAATATGTTACGTATAAAAAGAAGGCTTCGACTTTATTTGGAAACTGCAACTAAAATAGGTTTGACGCGCCGGACTGTTCGCTAGACTCAATCTCTGCAAAATATGATAACAGAAGTTAAATTTAAATCATTTATTGTTTATTTGAGATGGTAAGGAAAATTTTGTTTAATCAATTGTTTAATAAACTATTTTCATGAGAACTACTTATATTACCTATTTATTTGTATAACATGTCCGTCATCTACACCTCTTTCTCTCATCGACTTGACTGCCTCACGTGTACACATGCATAGGCCAAGAACATTTACCTAGAAAAAAATGAATAATTCAACTTAGTATGTTTAAAGACATAATAAAGCAAAGGCATAAAATTGATGATATTATGCAAAAGTACTTTTTCGACGATGCATTCAAGTTTTTTTAAACAGCAGTTCATTAATTCAAAGAGGCGCCAATGCTATGTCAAAATTGTACACTGTGTTTAACCGTTCGACTAAATTTATTATTGTTTGTACTTGTAATATTCATGTACATGTAAATGTAAGTAAAACAGGGTCACGGCCGGGCGACATATATTAAATAATCTGTACAATGATAAAGTACTTACATCAAGCATATTTTTCCACTGTTCAGTTTTACCTGATAATAACGGTGCAGCTTGGGACAGACCAGCGTTATTTATACACACGTCTGTACCACCAAACTCGGATTTGATCTATAAGAAAATAAGCAATTGCAATGAAAAATAATTAAAAACAAATGCAAGTTGTATTTTGTAGGAAAACATACATAATAGATATTATGTTCATGAAATAAGAATCTGTATCTTGTTCTTTGATATATGCATGTATTGTAAAATTATTTTCTGCTCATCAAATACCTATATATATCTAGTATTTTTTGAAACAATTTTAAAAACAG